AAAAAACCCCCTTGTGTAAAATTATCATTTGATCCACGTGACAAAAAATCCGGTGATTTATGGTAGGGTAGTGTAGAATTTGGATTTTCCCAAATAATTAATTAAATGGGATATTTTGCCGCAGCCCAATTGTCACGTGGATTATCCGTTAAAGTGTAATTTTAAAATCCGCAAATCCCATCTACAGGCAAGTTATATTATTATCGCTATCAAATATACTTTTTCTATTTTCAACGTTAAATCTGTGAATTTGAACTAAGACTACGCCCGGACCCTTGTTATTTGAATCTAGAAGTAACATTCTTATTATTATGTATTATGATAGTATGCTTAAACCGTACGTAGAGTATTGACTAATCATTCATAAGGCCGTATTGTTAGACATATTGATTGTCAATAAGATTTCAAACGACATACAAGTAGATATGACGACGGTAAACAGTACATTACTATCCTAGTTTATCACTTAAACCAAATTCTATAAGAATAAATATAAACAGTTGACAACGCGCTTCTGCTTATAATAAACTAGTAACTCGACACATATTTATTCAATCGATACCTCCATTGAAAATTTACGCTAGCTTAAAGCATTTTTCACAATGATATGTCGGACTATGTTTGGTTATGCCATTTTAATGCCAGCATATTCTTGTATCTTCGCCAGCGTATTCAGCTCCTCAAAGCGATTATGCTATTTTAATACAATCGTATTTTTATTCAAATTGCATAGTTATTTATAACGCTTATCTAATAATGATGTAGTATTTGCATAACGCTATCATAAAGATGGTCTTAATTTAAATCACGGCGATTAATTGGCTGACTTTTTTTAAATGTCAGTGCGTGAACTTATGGTGCCCCGATTGTTGGTCAAGTGACTTACAAAAACCGCCGCAGCTCCGTGTAACGTAAACAATATTAATAGGATGAAATTTTTTCGCTTGTGCAGTTATTTCCCTCTCCTCCTCCTCTTCCTATTCCTATAATACCTATACCTCCTCTTCCATTACATATCTAAAATCTATAGCTACCCTGTCTTTAGATAGAGTTAACGTACTTGTCGCAGTTTTCCTCGCCTTGATCTCACAAAAAAAAAAAAACACCATGGGAACTAACGAAGACTTGAGGAAGGCTGAAAATGAGGTGTCAGAGGCAAAAAAGCGTTGGGAGAGTTTGATCAAGGAGAGGCACAGGGGAAGATGCTGGTGAAGTTGAGGATAAAGCTTATGAATGAGGAATACAGAGACGACGCGGAAAAGAGGATGTGGAGGCCAACTCGCTCAGAAGAGAGAGTCGACTACAACATTTTGAAGAGCTACAACGAGCGCGTGCAGCAGCAGCTGCCCCAACAGGTACCGACTTTGGCGTTGGGGACATAGAGTAGTGTGTACATAGGATAGAGTAGACAGAGGAATATGGGTTGTAATATAGTTTATTGGAAAACTTACACGTAATGTTACGCGTCTCTTCCTAATACATTTATTTTTGACGTTTTTAAAATATAGGCTTTATCATGTCTGCTACCACCTCTGCTATTGACGTTCGAGGATATTTATCCGCACGTAACCGTATCCCGTACACAAAATACTTTGAGCTTTGCTCGTATGAAAACTGGTCTCTTCACAACTACGTCTCTCTCATAATTGATAATTATAAGTTCTCTGATAAACGTACAGCACATTCCTCCTTTTTTCTTGCTCTGCAAAATATTGTTAATAATTTGTGTACGTCGCAAGAAATTCGAGATATCGCTCAAAAACTCATAAATAATAGGAAGGTAAGCATAACAAATATACAGTAGTTAATAAGATCTGATGTGATGGGGCTTTGTAGCCAGGTACTTTGTACCTACCGCGCACGTACCGGTAGGAATCATACAAGTACTGAATGGATGCGTTTGTTGTGCACGTACCGGCAAACAATCATGGAATATATTTTTAGTAAAGATCTGTTGATTATTCAACTATGTATCTTTCTTTACTTTATCTATTGATGTATTCCTGCACCCGCCATCTAATCTTATTTTTGCATTTTGTGTTTACTGGGAAATATTTCTCATCTGGTTTTGCTTTTTATAGGCCGATATAAAAAAAGTAAATGGTTTGTGGAATAAAGCTATTAAAAGAAATAAGACATTATTATCAGCAAAATCATCGTCACCATTAGCATCATCATCGCCACCAGTAGCATCATCACCATCATTATCGCCAACATCACCATCTATACGATCATGACAATAACAATGATCACAAAGATGACGATAATAATATCAATAATAGAATTGTTGGTGGTTCGATTCAACGAAAAAAGAGAGCGGGGCCTATCCTATCTCATCGGAACAAAAAACAGGTTAATAATAATAATAATAATAATAATAATAATAATAATAATAATAATAATAATAATAATAATAATAATAATAACGATAATGGTGATAACGGGGATGATTATGGCAATAATGGCGATAATAATAACAATAATAATAACGAAAATAATAGCAATGATAATAATTTTTTTTAGCGTTCTACTAAACAAAAGGCCTGTCTTGTATCGTCGGAATAAAAAACGGTTTAATAATAGTGATAATAATAATAATGATGATGAAAATGATGATAATAATAATAATGATAATAGTAACGACATCAATAACAACAACAACAACAACAACAATAATAATAGTAACGACATCAATAATAATAACAATGATAATAATAATACAGCAATATCATCATCATCACCAACAACAACAACAACAACACTATAGCAGTAAAAGAAAAAAAGAATACGATTATGAACGTATCATCATCGTACAAATTTTTAGTCAGACAAAGCGAGACCCAGAGGTCTCTTGTGCAGTTACGAAATACGCAATAAATAATAAATAATAACTTTATTGATAGTAATATTTACGAACTACAATGAAATAATTTTATATGGTCTAAATATTGTAGATAGGAGCGTAGGGTGGAGGCGTTTAAAGGGAGGAATAAAGCATAAATGCCCGCTGGACCCTAGCCTTTTACATAGTAAAAATAGCGGTTCCTTTCCCTACCCCGCACTAGCTATCGTGATTTATTTCTTCTTCCTCCTCCTTTCCGGTTCAGTATCTATTACTCCATTCTGTTTTGATACCCCATAACTTTAATGCGTCCAATGACTCTTCTTTCGGATTTTTAGTCGTTTTTTTATGGAAATTCCTAATGGTGGCATCACTGATCGCTACCCCCTCTTATGATTGATAACAAGGGTTCGGATTTCTTCAGCTACCTTGGGTACAGCCTTGCCAGGGACCGCTTTTCGACACGCTTTTTTTCGTTGAATAATGCATCAATTCCTTACTACTTCTTGCGACCCATCTCGAACTTCGCGAATGGCATAACCAAAATGTTTTACGGTTTCAGATAAACCAGAGATAAATTTTTGTTGTTTTTTGAGCGATGCAGTCATTTTCGCGTCAAATCGCTTTTCAGTGTTCCCAGAATTGTATCTGGTTACGATATATAGAAATATCATTTGAATCAGCATGAAGCCGGAAAGCAGTAAAAAATCGGGAGTAATCGAGAACATTCTGATAGGTTTTTACGATTTGTAATTCGATTTTTATTGCGTTGTAAAAGTCACGATGTGGATTACTCTGTATCTCAGGGTCAGTTAATGATGTAGGCATTTGACAAAATAGGAGATTGAAAAATAATTAATAGAGACCGTCTTGCACTGTAACAAAT